GAAAGGAAATCTGATTTGTAAATGATTGTGAGGTTTATAATTTTTATTAATGTTTTTTAATTAAATTATTAGTAAGTGTTTGTAAATTTGGTTAATATTATTTATAGAAACTTATGGTATATTATTAGTGTTTGCATAGTATTAAAAAAAAAAAAAGTCCAAATGCTCCTCCACCCAAAGAAGAGGTTCTCAAACTTTCAAGGTTAATCATCACACATTAGGACCAACATTTTCATTTATCGTAAACCTCGTACTTCAACAAACAAATTGTCCCTTTCTTAATTACTACTAGATATTAGCATCAAACAATTATGGAAGTGCTGCAAAATTCGACCCTCCATATTTGCCAAGATCATATATGCAAATCTCGAACAAAAGAATAAGCGGTCTAGAAATCGAGTTCAAAATTTTTTTCTGCAGTTCCAGACCGTGGTCACTACAAGAAAAACAACTTTTTACAATGAGGGAACTAGGAGATGCTTGAAGGTGAAGGCAAATGCAAGAAGTTCAGAAAATGCGGGCACCATGGATGTTGGGAAATTTTTTGATACAATTCATGTTGATCATGGGATTCCATTTTTAGGGCAAAAAAACGAGCATGTTCTTGGAAGTTTTGTGGGAATGGGTTTGTTTATAGACAATCTTCTGTTATAAGTTCTTACGATATTGGAGCTCATAAAACAGCCACCATGGAGAGATTTATGAATTTCCTCCACGTTTTTACTCTTTAAGTTTATGTTTTCTTTTTCATTACGAGCCTTTGGTAGAATTCACTATCAAAACGTGACTGTAAGACTAAGAGGATGTCTATTGGGTTATATAAGCGCACGTAAGACAAGTCTTTCATAAGCAACGTGAGACTCATATATAGTCTTTATGATATTGTGATTTCAGTAATAGTTACGATTCACTACCTTCACATTGGTCATTCTCAACCACTCATTTTCTCAGTTGGATGGCCTCACGAAATCACTCTTATATCGAAATCCTCCTCAAGTCGTCCTGTCACCACACAGGTTCCCAGGGATGCATCTTTAGATATCACCACTCCAGTACGCTATCAACACTTAACTAGAGTTCACCAACTTGTAACTAGAGAATGCTCAATATCTTGTAAGTCCTAAATTTAATCAATCTTTACAATCCACCACCATTCACATTCGTCATTCTTGACAACTCATTTTCTCAGTTGAATGGCCTCGCAAAAACGCTCTTACACTGAAGTAAATCCTCTGGTCATCCTGTTAGCAACGCAAGTCTCCAAAGAAGGAATGTCCTTTTTTTATATCACTATATGCTATCAGCACTTAGTTGAACTCACCTTTAAAATTCAAGTTCCAGGTTTCATGTAATGTAAACCAGTTTCACTCACACGGGCAACGACTTTCGCTTCCTAAATAATTGATATATATATTTGAACAATCTAATACTCACGAAGTCTATACATTTTTCTTGCTTAATTTAAACTCATAGCACAAAATTACTGAAGGAAACATCACTGAATCATGTGGCAAGCTCTTGGGTGGCTGGCAATGGCTTTGGTGCAACTCGTGACATGAGCCTAAGTAAACTCTTTCGGGTTGTCACTCAGCATACACATTCAAGAAGAAAAAATACAGCTCCTGCTATGTAACTTAACCAAAAAATACATCATTTAAACGTGCTATACCGAATGTGACATTTCGCAACTGTTAAAATTCTAGATAAAACAACATTACAAATCATGTTATTTTGAGAACACCAATCTTGCTAGTTTGAACTTAGTGAAATCTAACATCACGATCATATTTGGCCCCAATTTCTTAAATTTATTTTCAATCACACATTTCATGTGACCCACAATTTTTATTAATTTTTCAACAACACATTTCACCAACTTTCATTGAAATATACTAAATTTTTTTTTAATCCAAACCAACTTGGGTTCCATTTCAAAGGATCTATGAAGAGTACCCCAAAGCCCCTATATGTTAACATTTAATTCGTCATTATCTAATTTGGGTTCACCTTTAACAAGCACGACTCTAGGAGCAGCTGACCCATGGCATGGCCCTTGCCAAGCAAGTTAATGGTAGAGCTGGGCTTATGCCGTGCTGAGCCACCACTTCTTTATGATTCAGCATGAGACTTAGACCCTAACCAGTTGAAAATAAAGTAGCATAAAATGTTAAAAATGAACATTAGTACTATAACACTACCATTTTCAATCGAGTCTTACACCAAGAACTGACATGCTAAATAGAGTTCAACGAGTTTCTTGAGCTTCAAGCAAATCCAGTTTCTTACCCATCATACTCGAACATCCTAGAGGGCCATGTCTGTGGCACATCTTGACACGTCTATTCGTCACTAACTTGAGTTGAATGATTTGAGGAATTAAACAGTAAAAAAATAATATTTTCCACATTGGACATGCAGAGTGTGCCCATAAATGTTCTGGAAGATTATAATCTCGCAAGCATGACACTAGAGTACAGACGTGAATGCCGTCAGTCCAATGTGTTAAAATCCTTAACAAGCATGAGAGCAAAACCAGCAGAAAACAAGCAACTTAGTACAAATACTAGTGAAAGAGATGACTTGGAATGCACACATTTGCTTCGAATGGAAGCCGATAGTGCAGAGCTCGTAGAGGAAGATCCATATGGCACTTCAAACAACATCTCGTCATTGAAAGATCGCGTTAATCTCGAGCTGCTAGTTCTAATTCAGTTCCAACAATTCATGTCTAGACCAAAAAAGTGCATATTTAAGTGATTTTCTTTGTGATAGGTCGCTCAATGTTAACACCCTCCTCAAGCCTCAGTAGCTCTAAATAAAAGAGTCCTCCTATGAGAAGCTCGGTAGAAATAAAAAATAGGTTAAGGTCAAAGGAGGGAAGAAAAAATCTCTATTTCAGGCTTCCGCTTCTGTGCCTAAATATTAAGGGTGCTTGTTGCCACTAGTTTAAGAAGATCCAAGGTGTCCTATCAGGTTTATGTATCGTGCATGTCAAAAAACATGCATCATAAGTGAAAATGTATACTAATATGTATGTATACAAAATACAGTATTCGCGTGTGTTTCACAAAGAACATAAAAAATAGAAAAACATATGTCAATATTCTCTTTTTACATCATTCGCTGCGGTACTTTTATGCAATCTGTCACTTGCAGCTATGATAACAAAGCACTGAATGTACCAGAGTTAGAAAAATGATTGGAGTTCTCTTTGTTCCAATTCGTGAAGAGAGAGTTGAATAACTAATAATCATTTAATGAGGCCACCGACTGTGACCAGTTTGCAGCCTACGGGCCAACCTTGCCACACTAAGGCTGCACTACTAGCTGCAAGGCGAAGGGGATGTTACTGGCACGACCCTGTCCCAACAAAAATACACAATAGATTACAGAAACTAACAAATACTAGCAATGATATAGACACAATGGATTATAGAAATACTCAGGCAGACAAATATAGAAGAAGCTCAACAAGCTTTTCAACTCAAATGCATTCCAATAACTTCTCACAGAACATGTACATATATATTCAACGGAAATTGATTATCACAATGCAGTAAGAGATATATGTATGTAATCACACAGTGATGCACTGCTCAGAAGTGGCGATCATGTTCCAGTGCAAACAAGAAACAAAAAATATAGCCCCTGTTTAGTACACATTATTTCAAAACTCATTTTTAACCACACATTCTTCAATAAAATAATATTTTTCTTCACGTCAATAACTTTTCCTTACTTTTTAACCACATATTTCTCATCGTATCACTATTTAAAATACATTATTTCCTCAATAATATCCATCACACACACCCATAATTTCTTGCATTCTGAACTATATAAACCTTCAGTCGCCTAAAAGGCAAGATTTCCTTGCACTTCAACCCACAATTCTTCAGTCGAACAATTGAAAGATCAATTCACATGTTATTCACTTGTTATGAAATATATTACTCCATATAAAACTAGTAAAGTACGACCAGCACTTACATAATGTTAGAATCAAAAGAACATAAAATGCAGTTCTAGTGCCATATGGACAGTAACCCTAAGCCAGCATACGACACAAAAGTAAAACCATTGGCCGTGTAAACAAAATTTAAGAATAAGAGCATAGTATAAACTATAAAGTAATGTTCCATCTCAACTGTTCAAAACCGATTTTTCCTTCTTTATGAATTAAATCTATCAAAAAAAAGATTATGAAGATGAGCTAAGCTATATCTACAAATATCACGAGCATTTATACGGTAGGGAATCTCACCTGACTGGGCCATAAGAAAACCAGATTTAACAAGCACCTCTTTCTAAAATCCCATAAAAAAATCTCTCTTTTTGGTTGATTTATCTTTCACCACTCAATCCCAAATAGACTCAATCACTATTACCCTAAGCATATCATTTTTCACTCAAATTTGCACATTTTCTTGATGGAAATGAAACTGGATACTGTACATAAACATACAATGCAAGTCCTTCAAAAGTTATAGCCTATTTGAAGGTAATTATATTCACANATCACATCAATAATTTTTTCTTCTTTTTCAACCACACATTTCCCATCATATCAGTATTCAAAAATCAATCATTCCTCCAAAAATCCCTACCAAACAAGTACTAAATATATTCTTTTGAAACTCATTTTCAACCACACATTTTTTAATAAAATAATATTTTACATCACATCAATAACTTTTCCTTATTTTTTAACCACATATTTCTCATCATATCACTGTTTAAAATACATTATTTCCTCAATAATATCCATTAAACACACCCATAATTTCTTGCATTCTGAACTATATAAACCTTCAGTCACCTAAAAGGCAAGATTTCCATGCACTTCAACCCACAATTCTTCAGTCGAACAATCGAAAGATCAATTCACATGTTATTCACTTGTTATAAAATATATTACTCCATATAAAACTAGTAAAGTACGACCAGCATTTACATAATGTTAGAATCAAAAGAACATAAAATGCAGTTCTAGTGCCATATGGACAGTGTCCCTAAGCCAGCATACAACACAAAAGTAAAACCATAGGCCGTGTAAACAAAATTTAAGAATAGGAGCATAGCATAAACTATAAAGTTGTTCCATCTCAACTGTTCAAAACCGATTTTTTCTTCTTTTAATTTAGATAGTTTTTTTTCTAATTGAAGATGAGCTAAGCTATATCTACAAATATCACGAGCATTTATACGGTAGGGAATCTCACCTGACTGGGCCATAAGAAAACCAGATTTAACAAGCACCTCTTTCTAAAATCCCATAAAAAAATCTCTCTTTTTGGTTGATTTATCTTTCACCACTCAATCCCAAATAGACTCAATCACTATTACCCTAAGCATATCATTTTTCACTCAAATTTGCACATTTTCTTGATGGAAATGAAACTGGATACTATACATAAACATATAATGCAAGTCCTTCAAAAGTTATAGCCTACTTGAAGGTAATTATATTCACAACTCAAGATCATCGCAATGAAAATGAAACCAAGAAAGGATATAAACACAATAAGAACAGAGTAACGTAATTTTCATTAATTGAACACTGAAATTAGATAAATTGCAATCATGAACATAAAAAAACAATTCAAAACAGTTATCCATGAGCTAACCAGTTCTTAATTCCCCAAATAAATAAAAAACCGACAAAATCCCCAATTTCAAACACTAGCATAGTCTCCCCTAGGATCATCCACAACATTTAGCAAAGACCCATATGGCGAATCCTCCTCAACCTCCTCCGGCGCCCTCAAAACAGCGTGAAGAAAAACAATCACCGCCCCAATAATCGAAGAAATAAAAATATTCCACCAAACTTTGGTCCATAAAACAGCAACAAGAGTGAGTACAAGAAGAAAACCCAGTATGATTTTCTGGTCAATGGTGTGATCGAGGACAGTCAAGGGCTCGCTGCGCGACAAGAGTAAGTATATGTATGCCGAAAAAATGCAGAGGAAAAGTATCAAAGAGAGAGGACGAGGAAGAAGCGTGAGGAGGAATACGAGGAGAGACAGGAGAGCGTAGTTGGAATAGAAGTAGCGGAGGTTTTGGGTGATGCGAAAGCTGGTTTCAGAAAGTGAGATGGGAAGGCTAAGACTTGCAGGGTCAAGGAACTTCCGCCAAGGCCGGGCGGCGAAGGCATCGACGGCGGCTGGCGATGGCGATGACATTAGTCGGCCGATGATTCGTCGGAGTTCTTTTTTCGAGTGAGGATTCAATTAAAAATTTGCCCTATTGACCTATATTGTGCACTTCGTAGTTTAAATATAATATAAAATATAAGAGGAAATTGTACTAAATATCGATTTTTCGCTTTATATTTACAAAAATGTCCTTTTTTTATCCTTTTCCAAGATGGTCAATTTAAGACATTTTTGCCCCTCTACATAATTGAAATACCTTACATGTCTAACATTACTTCAAATTTGACAATATTTAAAATATATACAAAATGTCAGAATTATTGTCAGGAAGAAGATGAAAATGACGAAATAACTCACCACTCCTTTCACTCCCGCCTCCCGTCTTCGATCTCCGACCCTCTCTACAATTCAACTCTCCAAATCCAATCTAATCGTTCTTCACACTGTGCCGATGCAGTTCTAGATTCAGTAAGATTCTTGAGCCTTTGTTGGAGGGGATTCCTTATTTCTACCGCAAAATTTCCCTACGGCCGCCGCCTCAATCACTCCTCTGTAGCGATTCCACTCTCGTGGCACGTCGATTCCACGTACAACGGTACAGATTTCGACTCTTCTGCCACAATCTCATGTCATCACAGCAAAGTTTTTCTATTAAATATTAATAATTTAGTACTCTAGGACTTTCTGCAAAAAAATGAGCTGTTAAATCTTGAGTTTTGGTTTTAAATTTGTGCATTGGATGAACTTATTTCTTTAAAGTTTATAGATGCATGAAAGAAAACCGTAAGTATTCTGTATTCATTTAGTGATTTCCATGAGGGTCCCTTAATCCACATGTTAATTAATTGCTATTATATATCACATGAAAATTATGTCAATTCTTTAATTCTCCTATAAAAAAATTATACTGTGCAAGATGAGCAATATAACTTAATTGTGAATCTGATTGCCTTTAGAAGGGTAATCGGTGGTGGTTAGTAGCCTAACCTCCTTAATAGCTTCTGCCTGATGAATGGACTCTCAATGCTCACAGATTCTGTCTGCTGCAAATAACTGTGAGTATATAGTTACTGGATTAAACTTTTGAAAACTTTAATTAATAAGAAATTACTGGATTGAAAACGAAGCAGGATACGAATTAATTGAGGTTTGATATGTCATGATTTAAGAGAATTAGGAATAAGAAAAAGACAATTGGAGTAGAATTCTTTAGATTGATTTTCCTTTTTCTGCATTTGTTTGTGTGTTTAAGTGTATGTTTATGTCTTTAAGGTGGGTTTTAAGGCGCGACATAAGTTCATCCGGTGGCTATTTGCAGCCAATATCGAGTGATATTTCGTGTTAAACACAAACTGTTACTGTAAGGGTGCAAATGAATTAGAACTTAGTATTTTATTGTTTTTTGTGCAAGATTTTTTACTTATCTACAACTCTTGGAAATCTGAAGTCTTATCTAACACGGCCAAACTAGATTTCTTGAAGTTATGCAAATGAGAAGTTCCCCTTGCATTTGTTAGCGTATAATTAGATAGTTAATCCTGCCTCCGTTGCTTCCCTGTTAGTTTCACATCAATGCATAAAGTGAGAAAATGAACTATCATGTGAGGCAAGAGTGAGAATGAAACCATAGTGACTTCACAAATAGATCTCACCATCCCTTGATTAGTTACATACAGCCTAAACATTTTTTTTTTCAAATTTACAGTTAAGTTGAAAAGTTAATGGATCACGCAAAGTAAGTTCATACCCTAGGCTCTATGTTGGGTCTGCATCAAGAACCTTTATTGAAAAAGAAAAATGCGCAATTCTTATATTATCAAGGTGATAATCAATTTATGGTAACTCGGAGGGACTTCTTAATAAGATAGAGTCAAGTAAAGATATATTGTCAAGTGCCTTTTTTGTTGAATTTTTTACTTATTGGTAATGGCTTTTGTTGATTTTATTTTTATGTGAAATTTTTTTGTATTCGGATTTTAATGGCATTGGTCACAATAAAATATCTCTGTTAAAGTTTCATAATCTGGTTCATATGTTTTTGTGTATTTTAGTCTAGAATGTCCTTTTGTTTTCTTATATCGGAAAAAACAGGTTTTCAATATAAAGGTCCTTGAATTATTCAATTTGGCAACTTGTTTAAAATTTCACTCTATAATTGACATTTGAAGTTTGTTACATACTCAGATCTACTACAAAATTAAACTAACACAAACGATAGTTCCTTTAGTATACGGGTAGGATTTTAGGTTAAGAATAATAAAAGGAAACAATAGTCATTCAACAGAAGTATATTTTATGATAGTTGGTTAATTCATAAATTCTAGTAGTTGCACCTTGTTTATTAGTGCTCCATTATACTAGACATTGAAGGCTCTATAAACTTGTGAACGGGAAATGACTTGTGATAGATAGAACTCCTTACAGTGATTTACTTATAGAATGTGTATGACTAGGCTAGTCTTCATATTTTAGGCTCATAGATCTCAAAGCTTCTAGCACAAATTGTGGATGAAATACCTTAATACTTATTATTTATATTTTCCCTATGTATAAGTAATGTTTCTAATAAACTGACTTTGTTCACCATTATATGCAAACTAAAACAGCAAACATGAAGACTGCTACAATTCTTAATGGAAAGTCAATAGCGAATAGTATTAAATCTAGAATAGCAAGTGAAATTTGTGCAATCAAGAAGCAATCACTTCTGGGTGCGTTACTTTGATGGAATCTTTCGTGTAGATCCGTCCAAACTACTTGAACAGTGTCTAGATAAAGCAGACTATCTGTTATTTCCTTCGAAACAGCGTTGAGTAACCATGAGCTCACCATACTATTGTAGTGGGACCAAATTCCAGCAATGAGCTCTCCAGTCGATGGTTTTGGAATTGATCCACCGACAAAGGTCACAAAGCCGAGCTTGTGTTTGGCATTGAGTGCCATAACCATCGCTCTGTTCCAGGTGTTGTAATTTGGGCCAGTAAAAGGGTGAGAGACCAGTATTAGACCAGGGTGATCTCCACTATGAAGAAAATATGGACTGCTAGTATTGCCCATGGAGGCTGAATCTCGTTGATCCATGTTGCCAGACGATGAAGGTGGAGTTAGAGGCTGGAACCGATTGTTATTGTGCTGCTGACCTCCACGGGCAATGTTTAAGCACGAAGCAAAGAAGTGTAGATGAAATGCTCTGATACCATTTTATAGAAAAGATATTGGAAAGGAGAGAAAACTGATTCTTTTATTCATTCATTCTCAGGAAAAAGTACAGCATATATAGTTAAAGACTTGTATAACAGAATACAGCTCTGTGTAGTACACCTCAGCAAAACTAATTCTAGAAAGGTATATTGATTATATCATAAAGAGGAAAATAGAAAATAATAATAATTGGTAATATTGTAAAAAGTAGCACCACCACTCATATCGCAACAATGGTGGGATCCCAATTTCCTTCTAAAAAAAAAAAAAAAATCAAACCAAAATCTCACCACAACAAAAGTCAAACCAAAATCCGGGTCTAATCTGATTTTTGAATTTAACGCCCAACAAAGAACTTGTTAGTGGAATTATTAAAAGTAGGGTTGGGCAAAATGTCCGAACCGAATCGAACTGAACCAGAACCAAACCGAATCGAGTGAGTTTTTTAAAATGAAATACCCGAACGGGTATTCGAATCGAGAACCGAATGGTTTGGTTCGATTCTCGATTCTCAACCAAGAACCGAAAAATCGAATAAGAACCAAAATTTTTTTATATATTGGATAAATCAATTTCTTTTATTTTTTCTAAACAAATTAATAATTTTTTTCTTATTAAATCTTATTAGTTGAACAATTTAGAGTTTATTTATGTTTGTTAGTTGTGTTTTTTTCAATTTTTTCTTGTATAGTTTCTTAATAGTTAGTATGGAAAGTCAACCAACTGATGATTACATTAAATAGTTGGTAAGTATTATCAATACTTTAAAATATTTTATCTTTGTGACTTCTAATTTATATTTCACTTTTATGTAGATTTGAAGGTTTGAAACAAATGAATTATTGATATGAATATCGAAGTTTTATTAGTAATATTTACTTTTTGGTATTTGTATTTGACAACTTATTATTTATATGTTATTAAATTAGATTACGTTAATTTGTAAAAGTTAAGATTGAACTTGGTATTTGTATCTACTTTTTGTTATTAATATTGGTATCCACTTTCAGGTGTATTTATGTAGTATTATTTTAAATGTTAAAAAATTTAATTATATTACGGAACCGAACAGAACCGAATCGAAACCGAACGGTTCCAAAATTATATTTCGAACCGACAGTTCCATTTACTAAATACCCGAAAATTTCTGAAACTTAAAAAAATCGAACCGAACCTACCCGTGCCCACTCCTAATTAAAAGGGGTAGGCGACGGTGGGGCGGGTGACATGATTGTAATGCTGCAAATGTCGTTCTGAATGAGAAGGAATAGACACCAATCTCTTAATATACATTGTAACGTAAGAAAAGTTTTTTTAAAAAAAAAAGGAACTTTTCAAATGAAAGAAAGCCCCAAAATTAAAATCAGCCTCCCATTTTATAGATCATAATTCATTGTATGTCGTTCTCGGAAAATCCCCTTGAAGGCCAAGTTCTTGTTAATAGTTGAAAATTAATGGAAAGAGAAATTGAACCATGTGGATAATAGAAATGCATTGGTCGTGTTGGTTTTTTCAAACAAGAAATTGGATGGGAAAGTTAGTGGTCAATGAGTTTCTGGGTTTGGAGTTTGGGGTGGGGGTGGGAGAAGATGAACAGTTGTTTTTATTTTTTCTTATTTTATTATAGAAAATATAAATCTATCATTTTACTCCCTATTTAATTTGTCAATTTGAGTCAAAGATTTAATTTAAGGGTTCACTAACAGATAAATGAATGGAATCGATCAAATGAACTCCATCTGTAATGAAAGTTAAAGGTTTGGGACTACGGCTGTAAAAATAAATAGCAAAATGAAAAGTTTGAGACCTTTGCTGCAATTTCCCCT